TACTAAAATAAATTTTAATGGGGGTGCCTGGGTGGCTCAGTCAGTTGAGCATCCGACTTCGGCTCAGGTCATGATCTCACAGGTTGTGAGTTCGACCCCCGCGTCAGGCTCTGTGCTGACAGCTGGGAGCCTGGAGCCTGCTTCGGATTCTGTGTCTCCCTCTCTCTCTGCCCCTCCCCCACTCTCATTCTGTCTCTGTCTCTCTCAAAAATAAATAAACATTAAAAAAATTTTTAATAAATTTTAATGATCTTCATAGTGATTATAAAGGAAAAGATTCCACATCTTTTGATGATCATGATTAGATTTGTTTTTGTATTTGTAAAGTGAACTTGATGTTTTATTGGACGAAAAAAATATATATATTCTTTTGTTAGCTGAGTTTTTTTTTTGTGTCAAACACATCAATATTTTGCATGTGTCCCAAACCCCAGAAGTCTATATGGAAAGGATTTTTCCTAGGTGTCTTTGAAGGCTCTTTCCGCAGTCTTAAGACCTTGCATTCCAGGTTGTTCTTTTTTTTTTTTTTTTTTTTTTTTTTTTTTAAATTTTTTTTTTTTCAACGTTTTTTATTTATTTTTGGGACAGAGAGAAACAGAGCATGAACGGGGGAGGGGCAGAGAGAGAGGGAGACACAGCATCGGAAACAGGCTCCAGGCTCCGAGCCATCAGCCCAGAGCCTGACGCGGGGCTCGAACTCACGGACCGCGAGATCGTGACCTGGCTGAAGTCGGACGCTTAACCGACTGCGCCACCCAGGCGCCCCTCCAGGTTGTTCTTAAATGACTCATAATATTAAGATTTTAGAGACTCAGAAGAAATTCCCTGGGGGGATATTGTTCAGATTTAGGGGTATGGTTGTACCTGTCCAATATATGGATTCTTGAATCAGAATCAGAAAAGGCTTCAGAAGCCTTTTCATCTTTGATGTAGTTGATTTTGCAGAGTGTTTTGTATCAATCAATACTGAGTGCTTAGATGTACTACTCGTACTAGTGTTAATTAGTCTTGTGTCTTGGAAGTAGGAAAGTAAAGTTCGCAGGAGGTTAGGTGTTGGAAGTAAGGGTGTATCTCTTATTATGCCTCCGCCCTGCACACAACAACCACACGGACCAGGTTTCTTCTAAGGAGTTTAATGGTTGTCTCAACATCCATTTTCTCGTCTCTTTCCTTTTCCTAGCACTTAGGTTATATACATTTGTCCTTATGCTGCCTTAGCCTGGTTCTGCCTCCAAAGTGGTTTATTTTCACTTAGTATCAAAACCACCTCTTAACCCGGATAGGTGCAGCAGAGGTAGTGACTTAACTCATTCACACTGAGAAGTGAATAAGTTCACCTTCCAACCTTCCTTGTTGTGTTTGTATTTTGATGATACTGTTAACCCAAACAAATTCCCTTTTTTTAATGTTTATTTATTCTATTTTATTTTTTTGAGAGAGAAAGAGAGAACATGCGCGGGAAAGAGTCAGACAAGAGAATCCCAAGCAGGCTCCATGCTGTCAGCACAGAACCCAATGTAGGACTCGAACTCACCGACCGTGAGATCGTGATCTGAGCCAAAACCAAGAGTCGGGTGCTTAACCCACTGAGCCACCCAGGCGCCCTGACCCAAACAAATTTCCAATTGTTGAAATCCCGGGCAGTGTAACTTAACAGTAAAAGTTCTGGTCTCTTCTCTGTATTTGATCACTTTTTGAAAACTAAGTGAATCACTTGTGTCATGAAGTTGAGATGACAGTGAGGAGAGAGACAGGAGTCTAGGATTTACAACCTTGATACGTAGATGGCTGATAAAACGTTTGTCACACAGGGCCCAGGGTTGTGTTGATTGAAATTTCTCAGAGACGTTGAAGATAGAGGTCTGTTAGGCAGTTGGGTATATCAAGCCTCCTGGCAAGAGGCATGGAGTTGGGACCGTTGAGTAGTGGATGACTGTGGGGCGTGCTCAGACCACCCTTGGGAGAGAGAGGAGAGCCGATGACCTTGAGAAACCAGCTTTGGAGCAAATGGCGGCAGCCATGGGGGAGGGGGTCGAGGTGGGTGGGCGGGCAGGAGAGCAGGAAGCTGGGAAGGAAACATGCTGCTGGGCTGTGGAAAGGAATAACAACCCGCCTCTCTCTTCTACCAGCTTTTACAATTACTTTGCACTTTCAGCTGCTTGTGGTTTTTCAGAAACATCCTTAAAGACAACATAGTAGCAACTTGCCATAGCTGAGCTTGTGAAAATGTTCTTTTACGTAATCACACAAGAACTCAGGCCTGTTCCCAACTCAGGATGATTTGACTTAATGATCTTCTGACTTTGCTACTGTGTGAAAGCAACACACATTCAGTAGAAACCGTACTTAGAGTTTTGAATTTGCATTGTTCCTGGGGCTGTCGATATGCAGTGTACCGCTAGGATATGCAGTAGGAAACTCTTTGCACACTCTGTTGTGACACTGGGCGCTGCACAGTGAGCCATAGCCCCCAGGCAGCCACATAATCAAGATGGTCAATGGCCACCATACTGGCAGCCACCCCCTCATACCGCCATTCTCTCTGTCATTTCCAGTACAGTATTCGTTAAATTACACGAAGGAGTCAACACATCACTTGCTGTGTGTTAGATACTATTGTCCAGCTGTACGTAGCCTCTTGCTGAGTGTTCTGAGCCTGGTTAGGCTAAGCGCAGCCTAAGCTATGATGCTCTGTAGACTGCGTGGTAAGTGCATTTCAACTTCCAGTTTTTTCAACTTGCAATGCGTTTATCAGGAAGTAACCCCATCTTTTTTTTTTTTTTAATTTTTTTTTCAACGTTTATTTATTTTTGGGACAGAGAGAGACAGAGCATGAATGGGGGAGGGTCAGAGAGAGAGGGAGACACAGAATTGGAAACAGGCTCCAGGCTCCGAGCCATCAGCCCAGAGCCTGATGCGGGGCTCGAACTCACGGACCGCGAGATCGTGACCTGGCTGAAGTCGGACGCTTAACCGACTGCGCCACCCAGGCGCCCCGGAAGTAACCCCATCTTAAGGGGAGGAAGATCTGAACTCGTATCGTTTTGTTGTTACGTGATGTATGAAAATGAAAATGTGTCATTAGCAGTATCAGCCTTAAGTTTTAAAAGTCCGTGATCCTTTTTTTTAGATCTTTGTTTACAAAATGCTTCACAGTCTGTTTCTTGCCTAGCACTGAGGCATGTGGCTGTAACACAATCTTTTTGACATAGATACTCTAGCAAGCAGCATACTTACTCATGGTGCAACAACAGGGGTGCATTGGCTTCCAAATTATATCTGTAGTCCTCTGCTTTTCTTATTTTCATATACTCTTGCTCTGAGTAAATTTTCGATTTGAATGGTGGATAACAAATAATATTCTATTCTAGTTACTCATAATCTTAGATCTTAAAAAACATTGTATCCATGTCCTGCCCTAGGCATTAGAAGTTCTCAAAAAGTGGTGGTTGAGTGTCTCGGAAAGTAATGCGTAAATAGATAGATACCCTTACCTTCAAAATGAGTGAAAGAAACTTAGCATGGCTGGATCTTAGAGCAGACTGTAAACTGCACAATACATGGCCCACTAATTCATCTCAAGTAAGGTCTGTCTGTAGCCTGCCAGGAAAGAAGTGGAATACACCTCAAATACCGAAGATCTTCCAGGAGGTTAGTGGGGTCCGCATGTGATTGGTTTCAGTCTCCAAAAGGGATTTAGTATTAGGGTTTAGTACAAAGTGGATCAGAACCTGACCTTAAAACATTTTTAGGGTTCAAGTTGCAAATAACAGTAATTAGTTTGAATTCAAGACAGTATGTAACCATTGCTGTGCATGTGTTTTCACTCAGCTAGAATCCCATTTTTGAAAGACGATTAAAACTTTCGAATCAGACCCTCCAAAGTCAACCGCATCTGTTTTATTAGAGCCTTTTATTTTATTTAAACTATTTGCAAAGCGGTCATTCTCACGTTATATGATTTTTGCTTCTTATGGCACGTAGATTATTTTTGCCTTATATTCACTTTCAGTATCGACATTGGTCTGTTGGGTTGTAAGCTTCCTAAGAGAAGGATCAGTGTGCCTCTCCAGTGGGCGAACCCTGATGATTAGGCATTGTTGATAAGAGCATCAGTGACTGATGAGTTGGATGATGGCGACGGTGGGTTGTGTGGGATGGCTCACCATGACTTGGCTGTGGCTGGGACATAAGTGTTCCCTAAGCCGCTTTTCGCCTTTTATACGTGTTATCCTATTGAGACCATAGAAGTGGTAGCTAGTATTCTTTAGTCTTCCTTCCAAATATCAACTAAGTCACATAGTAGGCGAACTATTTTGGGAGGAAAGAGAGGAGAGGAGCACCTTATAAAGTTGTAGCAATTGCAAGTAGTCATTTCACACTTCATTGTGCATTGTGTAGGATTTCTACACTGTTTAGCATCTAATGAAATCAGTTTCACTCGATAAATATCTTTTTGGTTTATGTGTCTTCATGGCTAGACGCTGGTCTAAGGTGGACATTTGTGGGGTATAGAATCATCTGTCACTTGCAGATGGAAACCTAAAGCTTTGTACTGTACTATAGACTGTTTTCTAGGGTAAATCTGACCCCAGAGCTAAGAATACTTATTTCCTCTAATAGAGAACTACTTTCTTTGGGTTTGTAAAAGTTTACAAGTTGAGAGTTTGAATAGTGCGTAAGGTGTTGGCATACATGTTCTCGCATCACCTGCTGGATGGATGGGATACCGTAGGACTGGTACATTGTCACCTGACAGGCAAAATTATTCCTGACCTTTGAGTTAAGTGAATTGCACTGGGGAGATTGTAGTGGAATAAACTGAGAATTCTAAATAGACCTTCAAAGAGCAAGACGTATGCAGTGTTTATTTAAGAGAATAGTACTTTGGTGTTACCAGTGTGCATAAATTAATTTTTAAATTTTTATTTTGGTTAAGTTGCATTAGTATTCAGTCCGTGTGAAGTTCTAACTAATCTTCAAATCCTCTTGGGTTCCAGGTGTTAAAAACGGACCAGCAAGGCCTGATGTGTTAGATGGCTCATTGGAGGGCTGTCAGGATCTCGCCAGACCTCATGAGAAATCAAAGAAAAGAGGGAGAGGCCAAAAGGTTGGTGTGTGAAAATATTATTTTAAACTTTCCAATGCTACTACATCATAATGTTCTCCTCTGGGTTAATGTCACGTAAACTAGTCTGTCCAGCTTGTGCTTTATTTAAACCATTAATGATACAGATGGATGCTGGAAGACTCTGGCAGTAAAACTGAGAGCGTTGGTTACATTCACGAAAGAGAGCTAATGTTGTCGAAGAAGCTTCGCCACCACTTTGCCAATGCATTTCTTGCTTGTGAAAATGCCAACAGCTTCTCTCAGGCTGAGGGTGTGGGGTGTGCCAACAATTGATGTTTTATGATGTGAATCAACATTCACGAGGCAGGAGGGGAAGAATCCAAAACATAATTCATTTGTGAGCTAACCAGGGTTTGATTGGAAGCCATCGGAGTGAAAGGTTCTCGTTCTTTTGTGCTTCAGCTGTAGAACCCAGCTTCTGCTCTGTGTACAGCTTTCTCATCACGCTGTTTGCTGGGATGAATGATGTAAGGAGGGTTTAAAATGTCTCGATTCTTCAGCATCTGCTCTTTTGGCTTAAATTTATTTATTTATTTATTTATTTATTTTTTTTTTTTTTTTAAT